AGGTCTATTCCTGCGCTTTCTGGGGTTGTTCAACTAAGTACAGAAAGGGATTGCTGTTTGATGGCATGACACTGACTGCTCCATAAACCTGTTTTGGCTTGTATTGGTTTGGGGCCTGGGGCTGGCCCCTGTTCCCGTTTCTCTGATTATGGGAAAGGGTGTTTCCTTGTGTATCTGTCTTGGACCTACATTCACTAGCCCAATGTCTTCCAAGTTTGCAATGTGGGCATAGGCCAGGCTGTTTTCTGGGCTGTCTCTGGGTTAACTCATTTTTTGCTTTGCAATACTTTGCAAAGTGTTCAGGCTTGTCACATTTAAAACAGGCCTTTTTGTCTCTATTTGCCAATAAATCTCTTACTGATTGTCCTTGCATGGCAGCTGCCATAGCTAAGCCCTGTTGATAGGAAGGCCCTATGTCAGAACAGAGTCTGATATACCCAGAAAGGTCTGGCTTTTTCCTATACGGTCTAATGGCCGCTTGGCAGGCAGGATTGGCAATTTCATATGCAAGCTGTTTCACATAATGTACAGCTGTCTCTGCATTACCAAAAATCTTTACTGTTGTTGTCATTAATTGATGAACAAAATCAGAAAATCGTTTGTCAAGCCCTTGTCTGACTGAGGTCAAAGATGCACCAGTGTCCCCCTTTACCGGGAGTTTGCGCCAAGCCTTCATGGCTGCATTTTGAATTTGAGTGAATAACCCTCGGTTATATTGTATCTGGTTATCACTAGAAACAAATTGCCCTTCTCCTACTAAGGCATCAAAGGACCAATCATTGCCTGCCTGAATGTTTCTCCTAGCTGTCTTTTTACAATTCTCAAAATATCCTGATTTCCAAATAAGATGGTCACCACCTCTAAGAACTGCTCTCACTAGAGTATTCCAATCACCAGGAGTCAGCTACTCCTCTGCAACAGATTCTAAGATTGTAAGAGTAAAGGGAGCAGTGGCACCGTATTTTGCCACTGAATTTTTTAATTCTTTAATAATTTGAAAATTAAACCCTGTGTGATGTCTCCACGCAACCCCTTGAGCATCTCTAGTCTCTGATACAGGGAAAACCTCAGCCTCTCCCTCCTCTGCCTGATCTGTACTCAAACCAGAGGACAGGGGCTGCCTTTGGACTCTTGGTTGAGGAACTCGAGGACATGAGGAATTTTCCTTGCCCTCTCGAGACCTCTTCCCTGTCTTTAATTTTTGTACCTGATTAATTAAGTTCTGATACTCTTCCTCTAATTCTATTTGTTTAAAAAAAGAAATTTTGTTCTGTGATCTTCAACCACCATCTCCATAGCAGGAGCATCTGGAGGTGGAGGAGCATAGGGAGGGGGCCTTCAGGAAGAGGGTCATTCAGGGTCGTAATTTTTGGCTGTCTCTTCCTCTAGGTCAGCACAATCTGTCTCTGACAAATCGATTACTTCAACCTTTGGTCGTATTTTGGATTCTACGCTTTTCTTTTTCTTTTGAACATGAAAGACAGCATTTAAAGAGCAAAACAGAAGCAAACAATTAACACACATAAGCAGCAAACAACAAAACAAAAACAGAGTTGAATTCAGGCTGACTTATTTCTTGCCCCATTATCATTACTATGACCTACTGGTCTCCACATGGCAGGTTCCCATGGTAATCACCTCTGTTTCACTTCTGAATTTTCAGTTGACCCTTCTTCTGGTAGAGTCCCTCACTGGGTCTCTCATTCTTGCTGCCTCTCGTTGAGTGTCACTTTGAAGCAGCCTGTTCTGCTGCTCTAGTCTGCAGGTCAGGGTCTAGCAAGAGAGAGAGTGGGAATGGAGACGCGAAGAAGAATGGAGACAAGGCAGAGAGTCTGGTCTATTCTCTTCTCAAGTCTCTCCTTAAATCTCACCTCAAGTCTCGCCTCAAGTCTCGCCTTTATTGAAAGGAAATCATGGATATATATAAGCACAAGCAGGGGAACGCAGCTGAAGGCACTTTACCACATGCACCCTGCAGCTGAGGGTAATAAACAACAAAACAAGATATGTAAGAAAAGCAAGATAATTATCAGAGTGTGCTCAGCTGTTGTAGGCTGTTGAAAACAAGTCTCTTGTCAGGGTATATGGCTTGAGATGGCTGCAAAGATGATATCTGCTTTCTACTCAGAGTCGGCTCCCAACAACTGGCTACTGCTGTCAATCTAGCATTCTGCCTGATATTTTTTAGGAGTAAAATTTTGATTTTATTTTTTATTTGATATTTTATTTACATTTCAGATGTTATCCTCTTACCAAATTTCTACCCACTCCTGCCCAGGAACTCCTATCCCATTTCCCCTCCTCCTGCTTCTATGAGGATGTACCCCCACCTACCCCCACTTCCACCTCCCCACCCTCGAATTCCGCCACACACAGCATCCAGCCTTCATGGGACCAAGGATCTCCTCTTCCACCTGTACCTGACAGGACCATCCTCTCTTACATATACAGCTGGAGCCATGGGTCCCTCCCTAAGTGCTCCCAGGCTGGTGGTTTAGACACTGGGGGCTCTGGTTGGCTGGTATTGTTTCTCTGCTCGTGGAGTCGCAAACTCTTTCAACTCCTTCAATCTTCATGATAACTCCTCCATTGGGAACCCCATGATCAGTTCAATAGTTAGCTGTGAGCATCTGCCTCTGAATATGTCAGACTCTTTAAGACATCTAGGAAGACAGCTATGTCAGGCTCCTGTCAGCATGCACTTCCTGATATCCACATCAGCGTCTACCTTTGGTGACTGCACATGAAATGGATAACCAGGTGGAATGGTCTACAGTTGGCCCCTCCTTCAGTTTCTGTCCTACACTTTGTCTCTATATTTGCTCCCTTGAGTATTTTGGTACTCCTTCTAAGAAGAACCGAAGCACCCCCACTTGGTTTTCATTCTTCATGAGCTTCTTGTTATCCTTGCAAACAAGAGACTAGCATGGCTGTCCTCTGAGAGGCACCACCTTCAAGCTGACTCAGCTGGATGTCAGCCAAACAATGGATGGAGCTTGAGGACACTTATGGAAGAATATAGGGAAGAATTATGGGTCTTGAAAGAAATAGGAACTCCACAGGAATAACCAACAGTCAACTAACCTGGACCCTTGGGGCTCACAGAAACTGAACCACCAACAAAAGAGCATACACAGGCTAGACGTAGGCAAATCTGCACATATATAGCAGATGTGCAGCTTGGTCTTCATGTGGGTCCCAAACAACTGGAGCAGGGGCTGTCCAAAATCTGTTGCCTATATGTGGGATATGTTCTTCTAGTTGGGCTGCCTTGTTTGGCCTCAGTGGGAGAGGATGCACCTAGGCCTGCAGAGATTTAATGAGCAAAGGTAGGGGGATACCAAGTGGTCTTCCATCCTCTTATCAGAGAAAGGGATGTGGAGATGGGAGGAAGGATTGTGGGAGGGAATAACAAGGAATGGGGGGGAGTGAGTGGGATACAAAGTGAATATAAAAATATAGAATCAATGTAACAAGTTATATGGAAAAAAATGAAAGGATGAAAAAAAAGAAAGAATCACCAGAATTATCTGACACATTTTGAAATTATGAAATAAAATCTGTCATCCGTTTATGCAGTCCTTAAAGAATAGATTATATTTATACACAATTGCTTCCAAACAACTCTGTATACTTGTATCACTTGCTCTTAATAGTGTTTTGTTCATTGAGCATCATAGCTTCTTAAAGATATTATCACTGTCCTGTTGAGTATGGCAATATTCTAAGTATTCTTTCCTGGGAATGTGCCAAGTAGCCAATCGTTACTACCCTAACCTTTTGGAATTTGCCCTGTAGAAGGGGTGAGGATATGTTAACCTTCCCTTTCTATCATCCTTAGTTAGAATGATTAAAAATATGATAAGTGATATACAGCATTTTGCATTCATACCTACAATGCTATATTTCTGTTTAAGATTTTGACATAAACTCAAAGAGAACTGGAGCAGAGTAACCACTGCTACCTTCATCTTAAGTACTTTTATTACCTCCTTTTCCAAAAGCAAATCCTAAAGCACTGCATCAAGCATGGCATCATCATTTTATTCTTTCACTGCCACATGTTTCCCATTTTAGAGTGCCTCCACAAAATATGAAAATAATTTACTTACATGGCTACTATCATAGCTCAGTAGCCAGGCTTAAATGGTCATATAGTCTATGAATGTGTGATTTTTTGGGTATATAATTTAAGCATCTAAACTGCAGTATATGCTATACTTCAGAGATTGTAAATGTATTTTCTCAAGCATACCATTACTGTTACTTACAACAGCATAATAAAGTGGAATATGTTTCCCTGTGAATGAAAATGATATCAAAGAATAGTCACTTTTCTTAGTCACTTAAATAATTTGAAAACATTATTGAATATAAATCTTCTACAATATTCATTCTTTTATTTAATTTTATGCTTTCAGAGGTCCATTTCACTTGGGAAACTTCCCACTGAATTCACACAAAAAAGAAACAGTAAAATGATTCACTTACACTCTGTTAATAATCTCCTGAATGTCATACTTGAACTGATAAGAGCAGCACTGATATCACCAGATGTGATATATTGGGAGCCCACTCTGAGCCTGAGCCGAAAGCGGCTATTATCTTTGCAGCCATCTTGAGCCATATACCCTGACAAAAGACTTGTTTACAACAGCTGAACACACTCTGATAATTATCTTGATCCTTTCAGTCAAGATCAGGCAGTGCTAGCACACGACTTTAATCCCAGCATTTGATTGACTCAGGAGAGATATAAAAGGAGAGGCCAGGGCAGACCCAGAGTTCAAGCTAGTCAGACTCGACAGAGAACTAGACAGACTCCACAGAGAGTCAGAGGCAGAGAGCAAACAGACTAGTCAGAGCAGACAAACTTCGTCTCCAGACAGACTTCAACTAGACAGACTTGACAGAGAGCAGACAGACTCAGACTCTGTCTCCAGCAGGCAGACTTTGTCTTTGACCAGACTTCGTCTTGTCTCCATTCTTTGTGTCCCTGTCCCCACTCTCTCTCTTGCTCCCTGACCCATGGACCGGAGCAGCAGAATTGGCGCCCAATGTGGGGCAGCAAGAACGAGAGACCCAGTGAGGGACTCTACCAGAAGAAGAGTCGACTGAAAATTCTGAAGTGAAACAGAGGTGATTGCCCTGGGAACCTGCCATGTGGAGACCAGTAGGTCATAATAATGGGGCAAGTAATAAGTCAGCCTGAATTAAACATTCAGCCTGATTTCAACTCCCTGATTTGTTTTGTTCTTTGCTGCTTACATGTGTTAATTGTTTGCTTCTGTTTTGCTGTTTAAATGCTGTCTTTCATGTTCAAAAGAAAACAAAAAGTATAGAATCCAAAATATGACCAAAGGTTGAAGTAATTGATTTGACAGAGCTGGATTGTGCTGACCTAGAGGAAGAGACAGCCAAAAATTACAACCCTGAATGGTTTTCTTCCTGAAGACCCACTCCCTCTGCTCCTCCACCTCCAGATGCTCCTGCTATGGAGAAGGTGGTTATAGATTTCAGAAAGGAGTTACCAGACAAAATTTCTCTGCTTAAACAACAAATAGAGTTAGAGAAAGAGTATCGGGACTTAATTAATCAGTTACAAAAATTAAGGACAGAGATGTCTCGAGAGGGCAAGGTTAATTGGGAAAATCACTCAGGTCCTCGAGTTCCTCAAAACGGAGTCCAAAGGCAGCCCTTGCCCTCTGGTTTTAGGTTAGCCACAAATCATCCAGAGGAGGGACAGGCTGAGGTTTTCCCTGTATCAGAGACTAGAGACATTCAAGGGGTTGCTTGGAGACATCACACAGGGTTTAATTTTCAAATTATTAAAGAATTAAAAAATTCAGTGGCACAATGCGGTGCCGCTGCTCACTTTACTCTTACAATCTTAGAATCTGTTGCAGAGGAGTGGCTGACTTCTGGTGATTGGAATACTCTAGTGAGAGCAGTTCTTAGAGGTGGTGACTATCTTATTTAGAAATCAGAATATTATGAGAATTGTAAAGAGATAGCAAGGAGAAATATTCAGGCAGGTAATGATTGGTCCTTTGAAGCCTTAGTAGGAGAAGGGCAATTTGTCTCTAGTGATAACCAGATACAATATGACACAGGCTTATTCCCTCAAATTCAAAATGCAGCCATGAAGGCTTGGCGCAAACTCCCGGTAAGGAAGACCCTGATACATCTTTGACCTCAGTCAGACAAGGTACTGATGAACGATCTTCTGATTTTATTCATCAATTAATGACAACAGGAGGAAGGATTTTTGGTAATGCAGAGACAGTTGTACATTATGTGAAACAGCTTGCATATGAAAATGCCAATCCTGCCAGCCAAGCGGCCATTAGACCCTATAGGAAAAAGCCAGACCTTTCTGGGTATATCAGACTCTGTTCTGACATAGGGCCTTCCTATCAACAGGGCTTAGCTATGCAGCTGCCATGCAAGGACAATCAGTAAGAGTTTTATTGGCAAATAGAGACAAAAAGGCCTGTTTTAAATGTGACAAGCCTGAACACTTTGCAAAGTATTGCAAAGCAAAAAATGAGTTAACCCAGAGACAGCCCAGAAAACAGCCTGGCCTATGCCCACATTGCAAACTTGGAAGACATTGGGCTAGTGAATGTAGGTCCAAGACAGATACACAAGGAAACACCCTTTCCCATAATCAGAGAAACGGGAACAGGGGCCAGCCCCAGGCCCCAAACCAATACAAGCCAAAACAGGTTTATGGAGCAGTCAGTGTCATGCCATCAAACAGCAATCCCTTTCTGTACTTAGTTGAACAACCCCAGAAAGCGCAGGAATAGACCTCAGTTCTGCCACCCACACAGTATTAACCCCAGAAATGGGACCTCAGGCCTTACCCACTGGAGTGTTTGGACCACTCCATCCAAATGTGTTTGGCCTGATAGTGGGAAGAAGCAGTGCTACTATGCAGGGACTACAAATTTTTCCTGGAGTTATAGACAATGATTATGAAGGTGAGATTAAGGTAATGGCCAAGACAATACAGAATATAGTCACTATTCCTACAGGAAAAGGGATAGCTTAACTATTGTTACTTCCATTGATTCCTACTAATCACAAATATAAGAGTCCTAAGAGAGGAGATCAAGGCTTTGGTTCCTCTGATGCATACTGGGTACAACCTATAGTTAAACAAAAACCTATGATGACAATATTTCTCAATGGGAAGGCATTCCAAGGTTTAGTTGACACAGGAGCTGATGTGAGGATTATCAAACAAAGCGATTGGCCTGCCACCTGGCCTCTGACCCCAACTTTAACTAATTTAAGGGGTATTGGCCAGAGTCAAAATCCACAGCAAAGCTCTAAGGTGCTGACATGGAAAGACAAAGAAGGGAATACAGGGACTATACAACCCTATGTCATCCCGGGCCTTCCCATTAATCTCTGGGGCAGAGATCTATTATCCCAGTTGGGATTGATTATGTGCAGCCCTAATGAAGTAATCAAGGCTCAAATGATAAACTCTGGATTTTCTCCAGGGAAAAGACTAGGAAAAAGTGAAAATGGGATTACTCATCCTATTTAGGTCCAGGGTAACTCTGGAAGAAGAGGCTTAAGGTATTTTTGATGGGGGCTATTGGTTCAGCTGCACCCCTAGGGCATTGTGACGATCCAATCACCTGGAAGGAAGACTTGCCTGCCTGGGTACATTAATGGTCCCTAACCATCAAAAAATTACAAGCTGCTCATCTGCTAGTGAAAAATCAATTTGAAAAAAATTAAAAATGGGGAATGGTACCCTACTAAGGGATCCCCAGAAATATCCTTCATCACATGCTCTATATTTTAAAATTTTTAACTTTGGATTCTGAAGGAAAATCTTCTGCAGATAGATTCTAGCACCCTGATACCAAAAAGAATTTTGCAATAGTCCTCTGGAAGGACCCATTAACTGGAACCTGGAATGGGTCAGATCCAGTGTTTATCTGGGGAAGAGGTTCTGTCTGCATATATTCCCAAAGGGCAGATGCAGCATGCTGGCTGCCAGAGAGACTGATCAAACAAATAGACAGTAATAACAAATCCAGGGAGGAGAAACCCCCTGAGAAGCATATATTTCTGTACAGGAAACATGAAGATGCTTCACAATTGTCTTCAAACAGGAGCAGATCAACCAACATACAGGACTTGGGAAGTTCTCAGTGTGGAAGAAGACATCACCACCCACACCTCCAGCGTGGGTGCATTGGACTTTTGGTTCCCTGATTTATGATTTGGTAGGAGTACATTGTTTAGACTCAATAGAAAACCCATTACCGCAGTTGCTATAATTGTTTTTTGGGTTTAAGATTGACTGAGACAGGAATCAGGATTTTCTTTATTTTTTTTGTTAAGATCAAAGCTATGATCAGTTCTGTACTTCTATAGATTTAGATTTAGAAAGAATGGAATCTGCTATAATGCATTTGTAAAATTCATTATCCTTCTTAGCTGAAATAGTGCTACAGAATAGAAGAGGCTTATACTTTTTACTCCTCCAACAGAGGGAGTTATGTGCTACCCTAAAAAGAGTGTTGCTTTTACAATAACCATTCAGACATTGCTAAGTCTCTTGTCTCTTGGGTTCATGCTGTTCAAAAGACTGATGGCTTTTGTATGACAATAGATAGAAGCTATTCAAATGAAACCCGTACAGGTCCATTATTATAGGCTGGAAGTAGGGGACTCCAAAACCTCTGTCATCGAGACTGAAGAGGATTAACTCCTAACTTATGTGCTAAGCCGGTTAGTCAATGACGAGTAAGAGAACATTTCAAGACCCTTGTCCCAAACTGGGAGGCCTCACCATCCTAAGACAGGAGCTCAACCAATGGCTGTTAAGTATCCAGATACGGGAAAGGGAGACTGGGGTCCTTTGTTCCAACCTAAGACAGGCACAGTTTCCATAAGCTTTCCCAGCCTTCCCTTTTAAAAACAAATTTATAAAAGGGGACCTGTTGGGAGCTGACTCTGAACCGAAAGCGGCTATTGTCTTTGCAGCTTTCTTGAGCCATATACCCTGACAAGAGACTTGTTTTCAACAGCTGAACACACTCTGATAATTATCTTGATCCTTTCAGTCAAGGTCAGGCAGTGGTAGCACACGACTTTAATCCCAGCATTTGATTGACTCAGGAGAGATAAAAGGAGAGTCCAGGGCAGATCCAGAGTCTGAGCTAGTCAGACTCCATGGAGAGTCAGAGTTAGAGAGCAGACAGACTAGTCAGAGCAGACAAACTTTGTCTCCAGACAGACTTCAACTAGACAGACTTGACAGAGAGCAGACAGACTCAGACTCTGTCTCCAGCAGGCCGACTTAGTCTTTCATCAGACTTCATCTTGTCTCCATTCTTGTGTCCCTGTCCCCACTCTCTCTCTTGCTCCCTGTCCCTCGGACCAGAGCAACAAAAAGGCTTGCTACAGTGATAGACATTTGTCTTTGGCAAATAACCAATTAAGATTGAAAACAAACTTTACAGATACTGTTTGGATAGCTTCCTAAGGAAAGAAAGGGAGAAATGGTTTAAAGTAGAATAGGTTGTTTGGAGAAGCTTGAGAAATTTATTTAAAGCTATATAGACTATTTGAAGAAGCAACCAAATATGTTAGAATTTCTAGTTTATCATATGGACAGCTTTACTCTTTTTTTTCTGATGTTAAATAAGAAGCTTGGGGAGAAAATATAAAGATACAAAAGAGATGCATTTAATTAAACAAGCACCCAAAGCAGATGAAAAGTACGAACACACTTTTTATTGGAGTCAACCTTAGAGAAAATATTTCATAGTAAACCAAAGAAAGAAGAAAAGTCAGAAAAGGAATTTAAATAATAATACATGTTAGAGTTTTTAAAAGTCCACTAAATCTCAGTTTTTACTTTAATAATGCAATGGATATTCATGATGAAAAATATAATGTAGACTTTCACATCTCTTGTGTGGTGTTCAGAAATTACAAGTAGACCTAAGAATGAATTTAGAGTTTGAAATATATATTTTTGATACATGTATCCCTACCTAAAAAATAAGCAAACATACATAACAGAAAATATTTTGAGCTTATAGTGAGATAAATAAATATAAATGTAATTATTTGTTACTTTTGTTAGTCAAGGTTTTTTCAGA